TAGTAAAAAGGCATTTTGACTTGATGCAGAGAGCTGATAATTATTAGTGGCCTTTTATCAAATCTAGAGATATGAGGTTGGGCTATTTTGCCCTGGAAGAGTAAGAAATCAACCCAGAGTGACCTAGCATCTGCTGTCCTAGAATTGTGGCAGTGAATTTTGCAAGGGCAAGCACCACTTAGTTTTTCTTATATCAGACAATTGATATGATGTATAAATATGTATTTTTTTTTTTTAAAGTAATAGATTAATCTTGATGTATTTTTTTTTTTATTAATTGGATTCAAAAAGACATTTTCAGCCAGTTATTGAGATTGAAATGTAATTCCGCATGGTGATCTTGGTCAATATTTTCTACATTTATTTTGGTTCCTATGCTTTGGAAAAATTTGGTACTTTTTGCACCCATTGCAGCTCATGCTGTGGCCTTTTTTATGAAAATATTTTTATTTATTTTATTTTAAAAGATTATATTTAATTATTATTTTTATTTATTTTGTTTTATAAAAGTATATTAGATTTATTGTTTTCAATATATTATGTATTATATTACTTTATTTTTATTAATTTACGTATGAATGTATTTTTTTATATAATTTGTTAAATGTATGCATTTCTAAATGATTATATTTTATAACATATTATACATTTTATTAAAAAAAATAAATAAATAGATTCTCACTGTGAAATTAAGCTCTTGCCTTTGAAGCTAGTGCTGTGGCCATTTTCCCTATATTAAAATATTTATAATTTACTGATTACTTTATAATTATTACTAATTGGTTCCAAAACGCTATAAATCCATTTTGATTAATTTGAGAAAAATGTGCTTTCTTTACCAAGAAAGTGGCAAGATGAAACCCACTATTTTCTGTTTCAAACTTTCACATAGCATCTTTAGGTTATAATAACATTAAAAATTCAAATCCAGATTTTGATTTTCAAAGATTTATTATAAAATGTTATTATTTTCTTTCCCAAAATGCAATAAATCCATTAAATCAATATAAAAGTTAATTTTCATATTGAAACTGTTGAAAATACACAACATAGTAAGTTGATCCACATATGACAGCCTCTGAACTTGGCCAATACTAATCTTATATACAGGCACGGGACTAAAAATACATTCAATCAGTCATCGCTCCCAAAAAGAATTCAACGGGTCATCTTGTTAATGTTATAAATTAGTTACAACAATAAAAGAAAATTTCATCATGAACATACATGAACAACAATATCACATTAAACCACAGAAATTCCAAAATGACATTTC